ACTTCTAAGTGCTGTGTGGGAGGGAATGTGCTAGAATGATTTCATTGAGCCCCTGCTGATTTCTGGTCTTTCAGGCATCAAAGATGCATCATTTCCTCCAAGACATCTAAAACAGGGCTATTAGCAGCAAGTTCTGGTTTGCATTTGGGGGAGGAGACAACTACCTTCTCAAGTGAGACAGGGAAGGGGAAGTGTCATGAATTGTAAATAAGGCTAAGAGAGAATTGTCTGGAGATGGAGGAAGAAGAGGAGGAGGAGGAGGAGAGATGGGGATGGAGGTGGAGGTGCAAATGGAGATGGCGATGTTTCTTCAAAGATCTCTCCCATTAACCGCCCCCAACATTTCCAACATAAATATCAGTTCCTCTGTAGAGTAGACCATCCTGCCATCATGAAAAAGAATGAACCAGAGTTCTCAGGGTTGATTTGGAGAGTGATCTCCAATATGTATATTAATGTGAAAAAAGCCCAGATCTAAAGCAATCTTTGTATGAAATCTACCACTTGTGGGACAGGGGAGAGGGTGGGCAGTGGCATCACTAGAGCTGGCGTCACCCAATTCAGTAACTCTGGGTGTCCCCACCTCTGTCCCCACCACCTCTTCAGATCCTACTGAAGCCTTAGGAATGAATGCTTGTTAGAATTTTAGTCACAGAATAATATGTGATAAATGTAGCTGAAAAATGCTTAAATGTAATATTTCTTTGATCTTATGAGTACCAATAGCAAACATGTCTGATAAAATTTTTCTACATTGAACTACAACATTAGCTACAACATATATTAGTTACTGGGTGGGGAAGCCTTTTTTGATTTTTTCCCGTTCCTTTAGTGACGACTATATTCTAGGAAAAGCTACTTAAGTAGGACCACAATATTATAATCCACCACCAGAAGTTTTGAGCAAATCCGTGACTGCAGAGACCCTGACAGTAAGAACAAGAGTTTTCTGCTTGTGATTTGTGCGGACAAAACCACAGGCCTCCCTACAGCACATTGTTGCTGTGACTCAAACTTCAAACTCACTGCCATTAAGTCAACCCTGATGCACAGCGATCCAGTAGGACAGGGGGGAACTGCCACCGTGAGTTTTGGAAACTCTAACTTTTCATGAAAGGAGAAAACCTGTCTTTCTCCCAAGAAGCAGCTGGTGGTTTTGAACTGCTGACCCTGTGGATCACAGCCAAAAGGTGAACCACGACCCCACCAGGGCACCTTGTGGCTACTCTGTCAAAAGGGTCCCACCTCACAGAGACTCCATGTGCACCAGAACCAAACCCTGGCCGGTCCTGTGCGGTCCTCGCAACCGCTCTCGTGTTTGAGCTCCTTGTTGTGGCCACTGTGTCAACCACCCCTTTGAGGAGCTTCCTTGCTTTTGCTGACCATCTACTGAACCTAGCATGGTGTCCTTTTCCAGGGACTGGCGCCTCCCAAGAATACATCCAAAGTAGGTGAGAGAAAGTCCTGTCATCCTTCCTTTTAAGGAGTATTCTGCCTATACGTCCAGAAACCGCGGGGGGGAGGGGAGACCGTGGTCGGTGTAAGATATGAAAATAACAATAATTTATAATTTATCAAGGGGCCACAAGGGTGGGTGAAGGGGAGGGAGGGAAGATGAGCTGACACCAAGGCCTCAATAGAAAATAAATGTCTAGAAAATAATGATGGCAACATATGTACAAATATGCATGATACAATTGATGTATGGATTGTTACAAGAGCTATAAGAGCTCTCAGTAAAATGTTAAAAAAAGAGACAGATTTGTTTGTTCTTCTGGCAATCCAGGATATACTCAATGTTCTTTGCCAGCTCTGTAATTCCAAGACATCGTTTCTTGTCTGGTCTTCCTTACTGGTTGTCTAGCTTTCCCAAGCATAGCAGGTGATAGAGAATAACAGACTTAGGACTTGTGCTTGGGGCAGGGCTTGAATCCCTCAAAGTAACATCTTGGCTCTCCAGCTGGTTAAAAAGGTCTTGTGTAGCAGATTTGGCAAATAAAATGCATTCTTTAATTTCTTCACTGCTGCTTCCATGGGAGTTGATTGTAGATCCATGTGAAATGACACCCTTAACATCTTCATCTTTCCTGTTTATCGTGATATTTTTAATTGGTCCAGAGAGCACCTTAAAAGGCGCCCAAAGTAAATTGGCATAGAGTTATAGCTTAGTAGGCATATTGATACATGTATCCTAGGATGATGAAAAGGTTTGTTGCTATATCTAACTTCAGGGATATTTTTAGAAGAAAAAAAATTGTGCTCAAAGAATACAGAAAAAACGTGTAGGCAATCATTTTGGTGCCCTTTCGGCGGTGCCACTTGGCGTGGTCCTCACGTCTCACTCCCCTAGTGACTCCACTGGAGATTGATAGAAGGCTCTTCCATACATGTACTAAGAATAATGCCCTCATTATACTTAAGAGTTACATATTCCAAGAATCAACTTGGGAAAACGGACAAGTAATTTTCTTTTAATATGGGAGTAATTTTAATATACGAGTGGTTTTCTTCTATGCTGTTTGTGGATTCCGGAGGAGGGCTATGGGCCACAAAACCAAACCAAAGTCACTGCCTAGGAGTCCATTCAGACTCAGAGCGCCCCTAGGGGGCAGGGGGGGAACTGCCCTTGTGCTTTTCCAAAACCTGAACTCTCTCAGGCCATAGGCTCCTCTCTCTTCCGCTGAACGGGTGGAGGTAGACTACAATGCTGCCTCTTCTTCTGGTGGAAGAAAGCCCCACCGGTTGCTATTAAAACCCACAGGTGTTTCTTGGAAGTAAAAGGCAGAAGGGTCAGAAAACCCCAATTTCATGACGTTGGGGGACATTTCGATGCCAGCCCCCAGGTGTGGGGTTAAAATCAAGAAGAAATAAAAGGGAACTCGTGTGGTCAGGAAATCCCAATTTCATGACGTTGGGGGACATTTCGATGCCACTCCCCAGGTGTGGGGTTAAATTCAAGAAGAAATAAAAAGGAACTCGTGTGGCCAGGCAAAAATGCCGGTTCCTCTGCAAACCGCGTCCCAAACAGTCTACACCGGCAGAAAGAGTGGTGCCACTTGGTCGCAGAGTAGCCTGGATAACCAGTCTGGGAACTTTTGCTTCCTTGCTCTGGCGGTGAGACCCGCCTGGGATCCCACCGCCTTTCCGTCTACCCCAGGGAATCCTGCCGGGAAGCGCAGGCTCAGAGAAGAGGACCGATCAGGAGTCCGCCAGGGGACCCCTTCTCGGGCCACCAGGGAGACAAAAGACCTTTCTGGAGAGCTTCGCGTGAGCGGCAGGATGCTCGCTCGCTGCCCCTCGGGGCCCGGGGGTGCGGGAGCCCGTGGTCCCTTTGGCTCTCGAGAGAGCCCCGCTCTAAGTTTTTGGTTGCGAGCTAGGCAGGGGTGGCAAACTTGATACAAGACTTCGGGGGCTAGGCGGGTCACTTCGAACGATTTGAAGTCCCGCGAACGCGGCGTATTTTCTGGCTAAAGACCTTCGGATTCGGATTTTCAAAGTCCAGCTATGCTGGCCAAAGGAAACGCGCGTCCTGTCGCCTTTCCCTGCCACTTCTGCTCCGTCTTCGCTCTTCCCCCAGTGCGGCCACTGCACCCCGCCAGCTGAGCCTTCAGGGCGCAACCACCCGCGGCGTTCTCGGCGAGGGTCCCCTGTGCAAACGCGGACCGTCAGCCCCCTGAACTTGACGTGCCCCAGAGTCCTGTCCTGGCGACATGTTATTTCCAGCAGAAACGAAGTTGTTGCGCCAGAAAGCCTGGCCTCCTGCGCCACTCCGGACCCGGTGCACCCTCGGCAGGTGGAGAGGTGGGAGATGCCATGGGTGTTGGGGGCGCACGATCCGGGTCTGGGCACCCCCGGGCGCACCAGGCCCTGGCGGGGCAAGGGGCGGGGCCTGCTGCAGAAGGAGGGGGCCCCGCCCACGGCCCCTCCCCTCCCCGCCTCGCCCCGCCCCTGCGCTCTACAGCGTCTGCCCTGCTCCCTCTGGGCACTGAGTCCCGGGCCCCGGGCGAGAGGCGGTGCGCCGGCGCTGCTTTCCGCCAGCCGGGACCATCACTTGCGCACTGCAGAAAACCCAGAGCCAGGTCCTTAGCCGGGGTCACCCCTGCGACCGGCACCCGCAGACACTTCCTCCAGCCGCCGCCGGGCCGGGCCACCCCGGCCCCTTGCGCTCCGGGGTGCGGCGCGGAGGCGCGCGTCTCCCTGTGCGCCTTCGTCGCCCGGCCAGAGGGAGAACCGACGTCTGAGTTCTGGCCCCTGCTCCCCGCGCCTGGTGCCGATGGAGCGCGCGGCGCTGCTGGCCGTCGCCCTGTGGCTGTGCGTGGAGAGCCAGGCTACCTCTCTGGGTAAGGAGCCCTTTCCGGGCACGGGAGGCGCAGAGGTGGGGTGCGCGCGGGCAGAAGCGGTTCTGGAAGGACGTGGAACCCCCAATCTAACTTCCAGTTGGAGAGTTGGAAGGGACTGGACACTTAGCGCTCTTGGATTTACCAGCGGAGGAAGCCCGAGGCTCAGAGACGGGCCCAAGATTTCCCAGGGAGTCAGTCGGTGGTCTCCGGAGAGTTAACCCTGCACCTTTGCTAGGGTCTCGTCCCCCGGACCAGGCTTCGGCTGGGGATTGCCCTGCGAGCTGAAGCACTCTCGGGTTCGGGGAAGCGGGGATGGGACGGCGCCCGGGGCAGCAGTGCAGGAGGTGCCTCGCGGCCGGGAACTGACCGTGCAAAGTCAGGGCTGCAGGTCTGCTCCTGGTCCGACCCACTCGGGCCGGCTGTTCTTCCGCGGGGAACAGAGCTGGGCGCCTGGGAGGGCAAGCCGGCGGCTCGGAGCGCACGGCGCACCCCGCCAGAGTGAAGCAGCGACTGGCAGGCCGGGTGCCGCCTGCAGCAAGGCTCAACTTCTAAGAAGTGGCATCGGGGAGAGAAACTCTCTTTTCCTTCCTTGCAGGACACCTCTCACTTCTCAGGGAAGGTGGGGGTACACTGAGGCTTGGCTCCAAGGCTGTGACAGTTTACCCAAGTGCCCTCGACATGCCAGTCTTAAAACAGTTTTTACAAAACGCTTTTGTCCCTGAGATAAGCACATCAGAAGTTCAAGAGCCGAAGACCTACTCCACTGGACCCAGTTTTAACGCTGAGCGCCCCTACCCTTGCCACTTAAGGTCGTGGTCTCCTTCAAAATGAAGAACACACACGTGCTGTGCTTGATCACCCTCTCCCCATTTTCAAGTCTCCCAGACAGTATTTCTACTCTGGAGTCTCCCTTTTTTGATTTCCAGATTCTATGAGGTCCGAGGGGGCGGTAAAAAAGTCCAAAGTGTGAGGGACATTTTTATTGTTGTTGTTAAAGGAGACAAACGCGGCTACTTACAGTAGCAACATCATCTGTCTACAGTTATTAAATTTTCTTAAGGATGACCCTGCTCCAGCCTGGACACTCATTGACCCTGACAAGGGCCCTCTCTTCTCCCTTTTGGGGCGGTGAAGGAGGTCTGGAACATGTAGTGGTTCTGTATCCCACAAAGAAGTAAGTTGCTTTTAAGGCCGGGGTGTTTCATCGCGCCAGTGGTAATGGTAATAGGGTTACCCGGAATAATGGAGAGGTCGCCCTTTTGGAACATGCAGCTTACTTAATTGCATTGGGCAATAATTGGTGCCATCAAATTCACCAGACAGAGCCACTGTTGTTTTTCCTTCCTGTGTTTGAGCTGGAAGGGGTAATAGTGCACAAACTCATTAATATTGGTTATGGGACTTGCACATAGAAGGGCTCTTTATGGGGCAGAGGGATGTGTGGCTCAGAGGCCTTGCTCGGACCTTTCTGAAGAGCAGAACTCAAACTTGCCAATGAATGATGCTTAATGGAGCACAATGGGAGGAAAAATAGAGCCTTGGTCGACAGATAATGAATTTGAAGTTATCATTATTGGGAACTTTGTTGAATAGGTTTTTGTTGTAGATGTGTCTCTAGAACAGTATGGTGTTGTCTTGATTTCCTGTCAATGGAAAACAGGTCTTTAAAAAAGAAATTTTTTTACATAGGAAATTGTGTCCAGAGCATGAGATGATTTGTGGTAATAATTTATGAGAGGTCTTAAGATAAAACGTCTCTTAGTTTGGTGCGGTGGTGAGCTTGGCTTATTTTATAACAATCAAACAACAAACTAGCAAACTGAGTGCTATGAAGTGATGTCAACTCATAGTGACCCAATAGGATAGGATAAGACAGACTGTAACTCTTTACAGGAGTAGAAAGCCCCCACTTTCTCTTTCGGGGTGGCTGGTGATTTTGAACTGCTGACCTTGTAGATAGCACCCCAGCAAGTAACCAATATGCTACCAGGGCTCCTTGGTTTATTTTATGCCTCATCATTTTACTGTCATTTTGTTCTGACATGGATGTATCCAAAGAATGGGTTATATTCTCATTTGGGTCATTGAGAAAATTATGTTGAATCACTTTTTAACAAATTTTTTCAACCTAGGGTTTCTGTAATGGGTTACGCCTTGAGCTACTAACCACAAGGCCAGCTATCCAAATCCATGGGAGAAAAATGAGGCTGTCCTTGAAGCCTTGGAAACCCAGTGGGACAGCTCTACTCTGTCCTGTAGGGTTGCTATGAGTTTAGAGTTTTGTGAGTGTTTCCCAGTGAAGTTTGAAATCTGTGCTCATACAAAGGTATCTTCATCCTCATTTTCTCACACAAAGTGGGACTTTGTTATTGGAAGGTCTTCCTTTTGCTTTTCAACGTGCTGTGTTCTTGTTTGCATGGCTTCGGGGCAGTTATTTTCTTCTCCAAATGGAAAAGCGTTATGCTGGTTCATTACCCACAATCCCCCTTGGGTTGGTTCTGGTTTTGCTCCATAATACTTGTGGAATACTCCATAGGGTTTTGGAGACAGTAATGTTTATGGGAGCAGTCTTATCTTTCTCCCAAGGAGTGCCTAGTGGGTTTGAACCACTGGTGTTTTGGTTAGCAAACCAACACTTAACCCACTCTGCTGCTAGAGCTCCTACCCAAAAGGTCTGTGATTCAAATCCACCAGCCACTCCCCTGGAGAGTTCTTCCGTAAGTCTGCTTCCGTAAAGATTAACCGACCATTTCAGAAACCCAGTTCTGTCCCATATGATTCTTGTGCATCAGAATCACCTTGGCAGCAGTGGGTATTCTAACGGATTCTGTATGACAAACCAGACCCATAGCTGTTCAAGAATGGTCCCTAGACCATCAATGTCAGAGTCACCTGCAGTTCTTGCTTAAAATACAGATTCAGAAGCCTAGGGGTATTCAGACACATTCTAAAATTTAAGAACCACCACCTCAAACGCAGCAAGTTGGTACTAATGACACCTAGTACCTGACACTTATGTTGTAACTCCATATTCATTTTTCTACCCTGCTATTTTTGGCCAATGCCCGTGGATGAGCACTTGTTCATTTCACCTCTAGTTATTCACAGCGGAGGCCATCGATACGATGCATAGAATATTTGTCTTAGATATTTACTTATATTCCCTTGACTCACTCTCCTACGTGCTCATATTTGCTTTTGCTTGTTATTTGCCCAAAAAGCCAATGCTAGTTTAGGTCCAGTGAGCTATTTGTTCTTAGTGGATGTGAATTAGGGACTAGATTAAGTTTGGGTGCATTCCAGCAGCAATCGCTGTTTTAAGCTGAAATTTCATCCACAGTTAAGGCTCTTCATTGTCAACCATAAGGTCTGCCCACCCAGAGGCACTTTGGAAGAAAGGTACGATGATCCACTTCCAACATAATAGCCATTAAAAATTCTACGGAGCCCAGTTCTTCTCAGCGACACATGGGCTTACAATGTGGTGGAGTGGATGACCCAGAAACTGATTATTCTTATTTTTAATATTAGTTAAGATCCTAAGACAATTTCTTCCTTCTGGTGTTTTCTTCAATACCTGGTAGCTCTTCCCATTTAATTGACAGAGAACTAAGTTTTCTTGATGTGCGATGCTCCATAGTAGGGAATCTGCCTCTCCAATCCTTTTTTATTTGGGTGATGCTGTTGTTCTTCTAGTTCTTAAATCTTCAGGTCAAGGCAGGCCTCTTGCGTCCCAAGCTTCAGGAGGAGTTAAAACTTTCGATGAACCAATTGAGGAACTGGGACTTCGTCAATGGTGGCCCATGACCAGGACACTTTTCCCCCCCATCTCCTTCTCAGAGGAAACACATATGTTCATATGAATATTGTGTGAAATTGGAAAAGATTCGTTCTGCCCCAACTCCTCTCATCTAGTTTTAATATGCAGACTTCCTTTTAGCCTCTGTAGGCCAGTGGCCAGAGGAAGGGCACTACAAAAAATTAGTCAAAAGTATGAGGGTCATAGCAACCACACCGGCCCCACCCTGCCCTCCAGTCCCTGCTCTGCAGGGTAGGAGAGACAAGGTGTTAAACGCCGCCCCCTCCCCCAGCCTACCCGATGAACTGTATAGCATTCTCTCCCACAGTGTTCATTAATCAGCACTTCAGTCAAATGTGTGCATCCTATGTTTTATAAGAAATGTCAGTGGGTCCTTTCCCAAGGGAGTGAGATCATCAGATGAAGGTTCATTTGGTTTCAATGTCCATATCCTTTTGTAAGACCTTGAAGTTGGCAATGTGGGAAAACAGGAACTCCACCCTAGCTCCATGAATTGCCGAACTGTTGTGCTGGTTCGCGACCATCTGCCCATTCTTCCTGTTATGACACAGCTTGTGAACTTTTACTGGGAATGGTGAAAAGTAAATTCACAGTTTCACACAATGGCCGGTTGGAGCCCAAGAGGCCTTCTGAAAGTATAGAGTGTGTATTGTTTATGGAAGGTGTTTCCTATGGGGCCGAACTCAGGGGCAATTGCATTCATTTACTTCATTTGTTTCTAGGTTTGCTGAGTCTTCCGCCTGCCCCGCCCCGGCTCAGCACACAAAAAGACATTCTCACAATTATGGCTAATACAACACTTCAAATTACTTGCAGGTAAGGTCTCTCTTCAGATTCCGATTTCCCGGGTTGGCAAATTCATTGCTTAGCAAGAAAAAATAGTTTCCATTCCCGCAGATTTTTAATGTGGTTCTGACACCGTGAGGTTTCTGAGAATGAATGTACTAAAAAGAAAAGAAAAAGATTAGATCCATTTTCTAGAAATCCTGGGTGATTTGCTGGTCTTTTTCTCTCCCTGCCTTCTGCTGACACACACACACACACACCACCACCACCACCGCCACAGATGTACACTTAACATGGGTGCAGGAGACAGATGCCCAGTCAACATTATTCATTCAGTGAAGTGGCGGACATACCCTTAAAAGAGAGCTTTGGAAAAGTTTGGGATCATACTCATATTTCTCGCACTCAAAATAGCCCTCGACGTCCTTTCAGTCCTTCGGTTGATTCGACTTGGACAGTTAGTCTGATGGAGAGCTGAGGGCGGGCTCTGTGGGAGTAAAGGGGTGTCCTGCTCTGGCTTGGATGTTTGGGAGTGCCTCTCTGTGCTTGCTAACGAGAAGTCAGATCTCTCTGACTAAAAGTGTCCTTTAAATTTTGCTTTCCATCCTGTACCCTGGGAGGAAAGATGTGTGTGTGTGTGTGTGTGAGTGTGTGTATGGGGGCGGGGGCTACCGCTGTGATTATTCAAGAGAGACCCAACTTCTTCTCAGGCCCTTTGTGTTTTGGGCAGAGGCAATGAAGAGTGGAGGCCCTGTTGTCCCTTGAGGACTATCCTGGGGACCCAGAAGGAACTTTGGGCAGTTTATTCCAATGGCTTTCTCTTTGATGACTAGCAGGGTGTTCAACACAAAGACACAGATCGGTTTTAGGCTCCAAGTGTAAAGGTTACCGCAGTACCGCTTATCAGGTCCCCGAGTTCAACACCCAGCCCCTGGAGAGAAACACAGTAGCAGGGGCTGTTTCTCTAGTTTGGCTAGTCCGAGACAAGCACACTTCTCAGTAGTTTGAAGGGAACTTCCCTCCCCTGTCATCAAATGGATTTCAACTCACAGCAACCGAATAGGACAGAATCAATCGAACTGCCCCATCGCGTTTCCAAGGCTGTACATTGTTACAGAAGCAGTGCCTCATCCTGCTCCCACGGAGTGGTTGGTGGCTTTGAACTGCTGACCTCTCTATAGTCCCTGCTCTTCCCTTAACCACCCTGAAAAGCGTAGCTTATTTAAAATCATCAGAGATCCATTCTACCTCTTTAAACAGCACATAGATTTGTCCTAGGTACTGAAAAGACCACTGGGTGCATCGGCACCCCAGGGTGTGCAAAGAGTTCAGTGCTCACTGCTGACTGAAAGGCCGGTGGTTCGTAAGGCTGCCTGTCCACTCAGGAAAAATTAGCCACAGAGAACCCCAGGACATGTCACTCTGTTCTGGCACTCAGGAAGTTGCTATGAGTTGTAATTGATTGGAGGGCAACTGATTCTTTGTGTGTGTGTTTGTTATAGAAGTAACTTCATGAATGTAGCTGATGGTTCATGTACATTTCAAGTTTTCTTGAGGAAAGACCATCCGTGTCAGGTGCCCCTTGGTGTTGGCATTTCCCTAGTTAGGAGCCTTGAGGAGAAATGAGCAGATCGATGCCATCCGTGTTTGGGGTGGCTCTCAATCTGGCCTACACCCTTGCACCCTTCCTCCGGGACCTCACCTCTTGCTTTCCTCCCTGTGCGCACTCTGGCTTCTTTGGTACGTCCTTAACGTTCCACCAATGCACCTCTGTCAGGGTCTTCCTATTTGCTCTTTGCTCCTCTTGGCTGGCACCCTTAGGAGAGGGTTGGACAGCTAACAACGTGGTAGGAAGCTCAGACCCACCAGTCTCTCCTTGGGAGAATGATGAGACTGTCTGCTCCCACTAAGACACACAGCCTTGGACACCCCGTATACGGTGGCTCGGACAGTGGGTGGGGGCTGCCTGGATATCAAGGTTGGTAGAGGAGAAGTTAATCGAAAACGAAAAAGATTCTCAAAGAGAGGGATTGACACAGTGGCTGCAACAGGGGGCTGAAACCTCCTCTGATGAAGGTGTTTTGTTCTGAGGTCCTAGGAAAAGCTTGCTGGCACCTAATAACAACAGCATTGTCTGGGATACTGCTTTCCCTGATAGTTCCAGGGCCAGCCCCCTGCAGACCACTTTGTCTCTTTCTTAGTTTTCTTCTGTATTTTTCTCCCTGGTATTATGACCACCTTTTGTACAATTTTGTGGTTACTTATTTATTGAATTGGAGGCCTGATGGTGTAGTGGTTCTGAGCTGGGCTTTGATTCACATGGTTGGCAGTTCAAAACCACCAGCAGCACAGAGCGGGAAAGACTGGGTTTTCTATTCCCATAAACAGTTACGGGTTCAGAAGCCCACAGGAGGTCGTGATGAGTTAGCATGGACTCGATGGCGGTGAGTTTTTATTTATTTCCCTGTCTGTTCCAACTAGACTAAGGTTCCACCAACACCAACCGAACTAAACTCACTGCCATCAAGTCGATGCTGGCTCATAGTGACCCTGTGGGACAAAGTAGAACTTGCCTCTGTGTGTTTGCAAGTCTGGATGGAAATACAAAGTCCTGTCTTTCACTTGTGGAGTGCCTAGTGGTTTCGAACTGCTGACTTTGAACTTAGCAGCCTAATGTGTAACTACGACTCCACCAGAGCTCTTAGAGTCTGGCACACAGCACATAATGAATACATGTTGAATGAAGAGATAGAAAACTTGGGAATCTTCATAAGTCTGTGGCTTTTTGGTCTGTGTTGAGTTAACCTGTCCTCTTTGGCAGGATTTAACCTGGGTATCTGTCTACTCTGGACTTTAGTTAGTGGTTTGAGCCCGGTTCCTTAGAAACCAACTCATTGTGGCATTTCCCTCTGATACATCCCTGGGATTCATTTTCCCCCCCAGGGGACAGAGGGACCTGGACTGGCACTGGCCCAACAACCAGAGTGGGTCTGAGGAAAGGGTGCAGGTGACTGAATGCAGCGATGACGTCTTCTGTAAGACACTGACGATTCCTAAAGTGGTTGGCAATGACACCGGAGCCTACAAGTGCTTCTACCGGGACACGGATGTCGCCGCAGTGGTGTATGTCTACATCCAAGGTGAGTGGTTACACAGAGCCATGCCTTACGTCGATGTACCTGTTAGAAAACATAATAGGTCAAAGAGAAATCGATTGAAAAAAGACTCCCTCCAAAGGTTCCTGGACAACTGGAAAACAGAATTCTTTCCCCCAAGGCTTCCTCTGAGAGAGGAGATGGCATTGATTTGTTCTGGAGCATCCTTTTTATTTTCTTTCCCCCTCCCCTCCCCATATCCCAAATTAGTTTGGTTCTGATCTTTGTTCCTAAGTAAATCTCTGTTCAAGATTGACTATGGAGACTCATAAGAAAGCTTTGGGATATTTGCGGGGGAAGGGGTGGTGATGGGGGAGACCAAACCAAACAAAAACAAAAATAGAAAAACACCCTTCATTCTTTGACAAGGCAGACGCGGGTAAATTATGGTGTGGTTTCTGTAGAGATAAGTTATCTACTGAAGCTTGGGAGATTCCCCCAAGAATAAACAGGGGCACAGGCAAGGATGCCGAAGCTCTTTTGTATATAGGAATGTTTCTGTCCCCACTTCTATTCTTTCTCTTTTTTAAAATCTCATCCTCCAGTGCAAGTGAAGACACTGTTTCAAAGGGCTTTGGGGGTTTGCCCTTCCTGGGTGGTCTGAGATCTTGGGTGACAGACCCAAATATTCTGGGTGTAGCAATTTGGGATCCGCATCCATGTAGAAGTACGGACTGCGATGTTCCACATACATGGGATTTATAACTAGTCTCTGTTTTCTTTGGTATTTCAGAACTCTTTTAGTAGCTTCATTTCCCCATGAAAACCAGGCTTACCCAATAAGGACTGATAAAATAACTTTGGGGAGAGTGACAATGTTTAAGAGCTGGGAGGGATGGCATGCTTAGCGTTTTTCTCGGCTTTTCTGAATGTGTTTCTTTTCAGTGAAGGTGAGAGTGTTATTAAGGCTTGATTTCTATGTTTTTATACTTCTGTACATCCCAGCAGAACGCTGGTGGTGCTGTCGGGTAAGCAGTGCACTACTAACCACAAGGTCAGCGGTTCAACCAACAGCTCTGAGAGAGTAAAATGAGACTCTCTTCTC